CATGGGTGTGTGACTTGAGTTTTCTAGAGATATGTACAAATTTTAATGGTGATACTCTGGGGTCCTACACACATGGGTGTGCGAGGGTCCAATAAGATCATTACTCATATATAGCTGAATCTCTGAACCTCTGAACCAGACCTGAGGGCGAAGATAGCTCCAGATGGTATGAAACAGTATTCATTTGTATTGGCCTAGCTTTAGTAGGGATTTAGCTTTCAGTGAAGTTTGATTCATATGGTAAGCTTATACTATGTTTTTTCCTATCCCAAAAAGCATTAGGGTGTTCACTACATATTGATGTTTCTATTTGTTTTTGTAGTGATGGAATTTTTTGTAGTATTGAAGGTGTTTGTATTTGTTCTTCAATTACTTTGTATTTAACTTCCTGTTTAAGTGTGCAAAGAAATTTTTCTTTGTCTTGTAATTGGCTTTTAACATTATTTAATCCTTTAACCATAATAAATGGTGTATCAATATATTGGTGATTATTACATACAGAGGCGTTGGATAATTTATATTTGATAAATAATCTACTGCCATCTGCTGTATAAGATTCACTAGAAGTGGAAGAGGAAGAATCGTAGGAAATTATATTCTTTAATTTTGATTTGGTTGTATCATCTAAATTTAATGACTCTATTTTCTTTTTTAATTTACATTGGTGTTTATAATGTCCTATTTTACCACACTTATAACATACTGGGAGTTTTTTTCTTTTCTTTGTATTTGGGGAAAATTTATTAATTAATTTTCTTTTGGACTTTTTATAATATTCCTGATCCTTATCCTTGTTTTTTCTCTTGGCTTTATATTTTTTTTTTTTGTATTTTTTCTTCTTCTTTTTGATATAATCCGGCATATTTTTTCTATCTAAGTAATAGCCAAATTGCTGACAGAAATCTCCAAGTTCTTTTTTCTTGGTGAGCTTTTGTTTATCTATTTGTCTTTTTAATTTCATATCGGTGCATAGGGCTAGGCCTTCTGCACATATTTCTGCGGAGAGTTCTCCGAGTGTATATGATGAATATACTATTATTCCATTATGTTTCTTGCGAAGTCGTTCTTTGACTTTCTCTACAAATAGATATGGAAGACCAGCTATAAATTTTTCCTTCCAATGATCTAGCTGACAATCTTCTCGTATTAAAAGTTTTGAGAAAAATACGTCTTTATACCATTTATAATGAGACAAAGTAGGACAGCGTAGGTTAGAGAGCAGATCTTCTGATCTTGCTGCTAGTAATGATGTACTGCCTACAAAATGTAAAGTAATTGTGTATATCAAGGTATTGACGGCGTCACTTTCTGTATATATTACTTCTTGATTTTGTTCATTTTTTCCCGTCCATTGTCTAGTATTGTTTAAAATTCTTTGTTTGGTATCATCATCCACATAAAAATCCCACCATCCCCGTAACCATCCTGTAAATCCATTTACTATTGCCTTGGCAACTTCTTGATCATGGTAGCCTGCCATTTTATTTGCAGAGGCATACATGGTCATATGTCTCATGACATCTAATATTTTTAGTTCTGATAGACCATCAATTTGCCAATTTACTATGGATCTTCCGGAATAAGATACTGCCTGTTGTATTGAATCTTCTTCCATTTGAATGTCAACAGGAGTAGGTCTCTTATGATAGGGTAAGGCTGTTATGGGTTTCCAATATTTTCCATAAGCTATTTTATTGATGGTGTCCATTAGAGGTGTAGTATCCATAAATGCTTTTTCTTGGTTTTGGATTGTATCCTCTATTATGGGTTCTTCCTCTGTGAGCATCATTGTTTCATGCTCAGGTATGACAGCTTTTCCTTTATCAGACGACTCAGGTATTTGGGAAGTTATGGTTGGTGCAGGAATATTGATTTGAGATGAAGGTACTCCTTTCAGATCTAATTGAGATAGTTTTGATATTAATTGATCCATAAGGGATTTATTATTTTCTCTAATGTGGAATTTATTTTTATTTAACTCAGGAGGTGGTTTGAATAATACTGCTTTCAGAATGGGAGATATAGTAGGTGTTTCTTTGGATACTATTCTCTCTATTCGTTCAGTTTGCTTTCCAAGAGATTGTAGATATAGGTTTGTATAATTATTTTGTTCTACAATATAAAGTATGTATTCCTGTTTTTTATTTATTTCTTTAGGTATGGCTTTGTATGGTGTAGCCACTATAGTGTACAGGCTCATTCTTTTTTGGAATATCTGCTTTAAGTATAATACTTTTCTCAGGTGGATGTGTACTTGCTGTTGTAGTACCATCAATACTTATATATGTTTTCTCTTCTATTGTTTGAATTTTATGAAATGAGGGAATAGTAATATTCTTTTCTAAACATATATCTTTTAGCCAGTGGAAAAATCCTATATTTAATCTTTCTTTGTGTAAGAATTTATTATATTTTTTATGTAGTAATTCCAGTAGTCTAGGTGGCTGAAACCTTTTTAAATACCATTCTCGGATATTTTTATTTTCTTCTGATAAATAATCTTTTGTAATAAAAGCTTTATTTAATTTCCTTTGTTTTCTTTCTAGCTTGGCTGCTAGATAGGCTGCTATATATTCTTCTGAATATTGATTATTATTCATATCATCCTCAAGTTGTAATGTACAAACTTGGAAGTCTTGTAATTCTTCTATACTGGGTTCAGTATTAGAAGTTGTGGGATGAGGTTTTGATGTATATGTTGGAATTACAATATGATCTCTTGTCCTATGTGTTCCTTGAAATTGTATGTTTGGATTGGATGAACTAGATGAATTGGATGAAGATATTTGATTAGGAGGAGGTAATATAATAACATTTGGACTATGAGAAATTGATTTTCTACTTGGTATGTTATGTTTAGTATTTCTCTTCCTATTTATTTCAATATCATCTTGTACTTGTAAATTTGTATTTTGAAATTGTATTTCTACATTACCATCGGTATGTTCTATTATCTGATTTGGAATATGATGTTGAGGAATTTCTTGTGGTTGATTGGCATTTTGTAATGCCCATGATTGAGGTAGAATTATATCTGACCATTTTATGGTTTTTGGAACTATCATATTAGATTTTTCTATATTTGTTTGGAATAAAATTGTTTGATCCTTTTGATCAAGTTTTAAGGTATTGGGACTTAATGTATTCATGACTTTATAGTATATTCTATAAACTAAAGCAAGATTTTGTGAACCATGGACCATGTTGAATCCATGTGTTTTGAGGTTTATTGTTAATATCTCTAAAATATTCGGGTCGGTTAAAGAAACAGAAAAATTAGGAAAACAGTTAAAATATATTGGACCGCTACAGAGGCTGGATTCAACCATGCCTAGTAGGGAGTCGGTGAATATATTGTGTCTTGTATCTCTTAGGCATACAAGCACAGAAGTGTTCAACCCTAGTCGGGTCAAAGGTTTTACGGCTATTTGAATAAGGCCACTGTGTAAATATTTGTAATTATTTTCTTTATGTTTTTCTATTACTTTTTTCGAGAGTAGGTGAAAGTCTTCTTGGTTTTGTGTTACTGATAGACTTTCTT